GTCTAATAGTCTGCACTTACCAAATGTATTTTATCCCATCATTAGTAAAATCCTAAACAAAAGCCAGGAGTTTTTGCAGAAGCTCCTGCTTTCTCATCGTAACTTCAGAAGTACAGCACCTCTTGCACCAGCAAACTGTGGAAGTACCTCCAAAGGAACACCATGCTATTTACTTATTTGGCAATTTTGCCATAGATATTTGGAGCTCAATGACACAATTTCATTTGACAATTGCTATTAATTTATTAGCACTGTCCTTGCCACAGTGCCCAAGTGATTACTACTGGTCAATGCCATAACAATCCATTATAGTGCTGCTAATAACATTAATAATTCCACCTATTTTGAGCAATTCAATACAATCTTAACACAGTTTTCAGGCAAAGTCAGGTTGTCAAGTAACATCAATACCTGTCGCTCATTATCAAATCTTCAGAATTGTCACTGATGCATTGACGTGTTAATAATTATGAGAAGCGATTGGTTACTGGAGACTTCAGCAATTGATTTTTTTCACTGCATACAAAATTGTTCTGCTAACCAGATAAGTTTTCAATAAGGCTGTATTGTTGCCATTTCATTGCTACAACTTACTACAGTTCTAACATCCAACATATTAGAGGGCAAATTGCTGCAAGTGGTGAGAATTTTAATAACAAATTCTACGATATGTTGCTCTCAGTAAACAGATCTAAGTTGTATGATATTATTTTACTGAAAAGTTGGAAAAATATTTCAAGTAACTATCCCTTTAAGGCCACACAGTTCACTTTAAATACCAAGGTCAATCAGAGTTACTGTGGTGAACAAAGGTTGCAAATGAATACATTTTTGGCTCCAAGTCAGAAAAAACTATAGGCTCTGAGTTTTGTTGTGCTTTTAACATCTTGATCTGTATGTGCTTCACGTATATATTGCTGTGCATGAACTGAACAAAGATGAAATGTGTGACCATGTTCCAGATGGTCACTTGCTTAATGACTGATGATCAATGAAGATGATGCTGACCATATGCAAATTATTAGTGGATCTTTCCTTTGTTTATTCTCTAACCAAAGTAAAGCAATGACAGGGTGCCTGTACATCCAGACAATAGTGCAATAAATTATGCATTAATAGGATTTTTAAAAGAGACTAAAAAATAAACTGGACTCATTGAGAAGATAAATGTAGAATATGAATCTTTAAAAAAATCAAGAATAAATGTAATTATGTAAACAAAATTGAAGGACTACACCTGCTTTACAAAAATACTTCTCTAAAACTAGTTTTTTCTTTTTTTATTTATTTTTAAATTTTATTGAAGCAGTCCTTTATTTTTTATAATGTAGGAGCAAATTACTGCAGATGCTGGAACCTGTCCTGAAAACAAAAAGTGCTGGAGATCACAGCCAGTTAGACAGCATCCGTGGAGAGAAAGCAAGCTAACGATCTGAGTCTAGATGACTCTTCAATAGAGCTCTGATGAAGAGTCATCTAGACTTGAAACATTAATTTGCTCTCTCTCCATGGATGCTTCCTGACCCATTGTAATCTCCAGTGCTTTTTGTTTTCGGCCTTTATTTTTCATATTGCCTTTGTCTTGAAAACTGGAGATTAGTACTTTTAGGAAACATTTTTTATTGAACTAAAACTGTTCCAAATAAAGTCAGTAAAATGTCTGATATTCACTTTAGTACTTTTAAACCTTTTTGATTATTATTAAAAATTATTAAAAACATACTCAAATGAACAGAAGTTCATCTGAGTCCAGTTTCACTTTCCTGTCCTGTGATTACTTGCCATTGAAATTCTTCCTACTGCATTCTCTAAAACTCCATCTAAAAAACAATCCAAATTTCCCTTCAGTAATGATATTATATTTGCCGTACCTGGTAATGAGTGCAGGACAAAATGCATTTAAAAGGAAAAACCAACCTGAAAAAATATGCATTTTCCTTCATGTCTCCAGAAGTTGGTGACAGGATAACCTCCATGTCCTCGGCATGGCATCAGATTCAAGGGAGCACCACAGTTTGGACAACATTTCTCTGCAATAGAAAAGAGTAGTTTGAAAACATTTCCACTTTACTGATAGAACATGAAAAATATTACTCAAAAATTACATGTACATAGTACCCTTCATACACCTTGCACAGCTCAAAAGTGTTAAGTAAAGCCAAATTTGAAATGTATGACTGTACTTTATGCTCTTCTCCCATAACGGGTTTAGTCAGGGCTTTAGGGGTGGCATAGAATTGGGTAAGATAGTAGTGGGTGTGGACACACATAGGAACAGGAGTGGGCCATTCAGCCCCTCAAGCCTACTCCACCATTCAATGAGATCACTACTGATTTTAGGCCTTATCTGTCTCAGATTTTAAATTAACAAGAAATCTAGCATCAACTGACATTTGTGGATGAGAGTTCTAAACCTCTACCACCCTTTGTGTGTAGAAGTGCATCTGAAAATATCTCCTGAATGGAGTGGCTTTAATTTTTAGACTATGCCCCTTCCTGGCATCAAATAAACCTAATTAAGTTTGTGCCAGGAAGACCATGGGCGAGATGCCAATCGAGGCCCTTGGGGACAATTGTTGCTTACATCATTGACTCTTCACACCAGCGCTGGTGCTAATGCAGTGGAAGGGAGCTGACAATGCAAGTCTGTGCAGGTTCTGAAGAAGGGTCTAGGCCCGAAACGTCAGCTTTCCTGCTCCTCTGATGCTGCTTGGCCTGCTGTGTTCATCCAGCTCTACACCTTGTTATCTCAGATTCTCCAGCATCTGCGGTTCCTACTATCTCTGTGCAGGTTCTTTCTGGTTTTCCGGTGGCTTAGGGTTAGGGAAAGGCAGCCACTGCCTGATGCAGGGACTCAGCACTGAGAAGGACCAGGGTGGGGTCATTGTTCAGTGGCAGATGCTGAAACCCATCACTCTATCTTTGCTACCAAACCCCTCTCCTGACAGCCATTCTGCCATCACTAACCTCTGACCCTGGGCCACGCAGTCTTCTCAACTGGCCACTACTGGCACTGCCAAACTAAAGGGCTGCTGGCCTCTGGCTGGCAGCTCTCAATAAGGTGGAACCTGGCGCTACTGGCATTCCAATCACGTGGAATGCCCCCTAGGGACTTCTCAATTCCCTGATTAGCCAGTGACTGAAACACTGCCACTTCCATAAAATTCACCCACCATTGCAATGTAGGTAATGAAACTGAACTTTCGCCCAATAAGATCACATAAGATCAAATAGGTAATGATCAGATTCAGTACTCTCTTACTAAACATTGTTTGAGGGATTAAATATTGACCAAGCCATCAGCAGCAGTTTCAATTTATGTGTTGCCTTTAACATAATAAGGACACAGGCCTATCAAAGCAATGTTTGACATCAATCCAAAATAGGAGATTTTGGGACAGATGCCTACAAGTTCGCTCAAAGAGATGGATTCTATCACAATATAATGGACTGAAATGGAGGGAGCGGAGTCCAGAGCTTCATATCCAGGCAACTGAAAGTAGATACACTAATGGTGGGACAGTTAAAAATCAGTGATATTCAAGAGACCAGAACTAGAATATTGCACAAATATCTCAAAGGGTCACTGGAGGAATTTACAGGATGGCCAGGCCTTAGATGGATTTGAAAACAGGAAGGTGAGTTTTTAAATTGAACCTTTGCTTGACCAGGTGTTGTTCTATGTCCACGGGCAGAAGGTTTTAGTGAATAAGACTTAGTGTGAGCAAGGGCTCAGGCAGCAAAGTCTTGGATGAACTACAGTTTCTAAATGGTAACACATGGAAGGCTGGCCAGGAGAGCAGTAAAATAGTCAAATTTAGAGGTTTCAGCAGATCAGCTGACACAGCAGAAGATCGGATAATGTTGTAGAGGGAGAAACAGAAAGTCAATGACTTCAGTCTTATAAACATCTAACTGAAGGAAATTTCTGTTCATACCTGGAGAACCATGCTACTTTTGTTCAATGGGATCTTTTCATGTTCACTTAAGATGGTAGATAAGGCCTCAGTTTAATATCCCATTGAAAAGAAAAAATATTTGAGTGTTTCATCAGCTCTAGCAATGTTCAAAGACATATGCCAAATGAAAAGGACAGGAGTGGTGGGATCATAGTTCAAGAACTGATGTCTGTTTTACTTTTGTTGCAGATTCATAGAAAATATTAATATATAATGGCACAAGAAGTAAAAGTAACTGGGAATTGAAGGATAATCTCTGATTTTGAAAATTGATCTTCTGCTATTCAGTTTATATTTTAAATGTCACATACCAAAGTAAATGAGACCAAAATCGCATTGCAATGAACCATTCTGCTTAACAAAAAGTTTAACAATTCTAAATCAATCGCTGTATTTATCCTATTGATGAGGAAAGTATAACTTGCGGGAATTTTTAACTGTAAAAACTTCATTTTTAATATAAATTCTGTTAATGTTCATTTGTTGCGCTGACTACTTTTATGGATAATGCCACATGACCACTGAAATTTCAATAACCAATCCAGGAAGTGAAAAGCTGTGTGTTAGTCGAGCACATTAATCCATTACTACATTGAACTGTGGAGAGTCAGAATGAGATTCTCTGCTGAAATCTTTGGACCAGATTTTCATATCCCAGTAATGGTGAATGCAGAGACATCCACCATTACTGAGGGCTCCATTAGGAGCAGAGGTGCTGGAAACCAACCTGGATTGGAATCCTGAACTTCTGGCTGACCAGACGTGGTTCCATGGGAACCCCTAGAGCCCACAGCAAACACTTAAAACAAAACCAAGCTTTGGCCAAACAGTTAATATTTTCTTCAGGATCCGAATTGGCAAGCTATTGTATTTGCTGCCGGTGTGCAGACTCGAGAAAGCAAAGACTTATCCTAAATGGAGTAAGAGATCTCATAGGCTAGTATCCAAGAGAGGAGTGCACATCCTGGAACGTCCACCTACATCTGGTTTGGAACAGTTAAATTGCTTCGCAACACCCAAAGCAGAACCAATCAAAATAAACATCTGGCTAAATTGTTGCCCAGTTCTAATGGAGGTCAATACTGGCACAGCCATTTCAGTGATCACAGAACCAGTCTTTAACAAAATTCACTCTGGACTCCAACATTTAAGTTTGCACAAGACCCTGGCTCGACTGAGAACCTATACCGGGAGACCCTTTACAGATTAAAGGTACAGCTTCGGTTCCCATCTTTTATGAGAAGCAGCTGGTTCAGTTACCAATGAGTGTAGTAAAAGACTCAGGCCCAAGCTTGGTGAGGCAAAATCAGTTGAAAAAGATTCACCTTGATTGGCTCAACATTTTTCGATTATAACATGGTTGTCTGAGTGAAGTCCTAATTAAATAACTGGACGTTTTTCAGGAAGATCTAGGGTCTATCAAAGGAGCCAAGGCCAACTTGCATATTGACCAGGAAGCAATTCTGCAAGGCCCTCCCAGTGCCATTTGTCTTTTGGGCAAAAGTAGAGACAGAAATCAGGAAGCTAGAAAGCGAAGGAATCATCAAAATGGTCCGCTTTATGGAATGGGCAGCACTGTTTGTATTTGATTGTAAAGCCTGACGGGTCAGTTCGCCTTTGTGGGGATTTTAAACAAACAGTAATCCACTTTTTGGAGCTGGATAAATACCCAATCCCTCGCATAGAGTATTTATATGCAAAGCTGGCGGGGTGGGGTGCTGTCCTTCACAAACCTGGACATGTGCCATGTGTACCTGCAATTGCAGTTAGATGCAGATTCCCAGAAATATGCTACAATTAATACCCGTAAGGGTTTGTACCAATATACAAGACTGCCATTTGGGGTAATGTCATTCTGTACAATTTTTCAGAGGAAAATGGAAAACATTTTACAAGGTCTACCCCAGGTCACTATTAATCTAGCTGATGTGCTAATAACAGGGAAGACCAATAAGGAGCACTTAGAGAACTTGAACATTGCCCTTAGACGTTTTTCCCAAGTGGGTGTATGCTTTAGAAGGGAAAAAGTGTGTTTCAGGAAACCCAAGTGATCTACACACAACAAAAACAAAGTTGCTGGAAAAGCTCAGCAGGTCTGGCAGCATCTGTGAAGGAAAAATCAGACTTAAAGTTTTGGGTCCAGTGACCCTTCCTCAGAACAGCATCTGCATTTCTTTCGGTTTTTACCCCAAGTGACCTGCTTGGGCTACAGAGTCAACAAGACTGGGTTACACCCATTGGAAGATAAAGTGAGGGCGATCAAAGATGCCCTGGCTCCCACACCAGTACCAGAGCTTCGGTCTTTCCTTGGTCTGGTGAACAATTATGTAAAGTCCATACATAACCTGGCCTCCATCCTGGAACCTTTGCATTCAGTGGTGGCTTTAATACTAAGTGCATATAATTACAAGTTGGAACGCTATCAAAGAGACCAAGTAGCGAATGTGGATGCACTGAGCTGCCTCCCACAGGCAGATACACCACTAGTGGTACCACCACTGGAGGAGTCCATAATGATTTTAAATTTTCTGGACACTTCCACTCACAGCAGACAGTGTCAGACTTTAGTAGTGGAAAGATCTGGTCCTGACAAGACTGAAACAGCTGTTGGAATGGGGGAACCAAAGGGCTGTCACAACCAGAATTGAAACCTTTTTGGACCCAGAGAGACCAGGTCACAGTAGAGGACGGCATATTGTTATTGAGAGCAAGACTGATTGTCCCGAGCAAAGGTCACCACCAAATACTGGTTGAACTCCACCAGGGTCATCCAGGTCATCCATGAAAATATTGGCAAAAAATTGGCTGGTGGCCATGATTGGATACAGACATAGCTGCATTGGTGGGGCAGTGCCCAAAGTACCAACAATGACAAAAATTACTGCCAGCAGCTCCCCCACATTCATGGGAATGGCTGGGTAAACCCTGGATTCAGTTACACATCGACTATGCAAGTCCTTTCATGAGGCTAAATGTTCTTAGTCATTGTAAACGCACACTCAAAGTGGCTGGACGTGCATAGAGTTCATTTGTCAAACGTGGGGATGATGATAGAAAACTGTGTGCATCTT